TTCTGCAACACTGAGACTTTGCTCCAATGGAACTGTTTGTTTGACTAAGGCTTAGTCAAACAGGCAGGCCTTAGCTGTATGTACTCCATATGTGTGCTATGGCCAAAGCTGTGTATGCACCTGGGTGGTTTGGTAAAATGATCTTTAAAACAACTTAGCTGAAATGGCACAAATCCCTACACAGTCTGCACTCAATTTATACTTGGATTTTATCATTTTTCTTTAATTAAATCCAAACTCTAATAGCTTGTGATTCACAAATATAATGGATCTAGAGTAAACCCTTCCTATCAGTCCTTTTGCCAGCTGTGGTGTTCCTGTTGCTGGCAGCACAAAAACTGAAGGAGATGCAGAGGGAGGAGTCAATAACTCCACTGCTCACAATGGCAGTAATGTCTGTATTGCCTGCACACAGACTCAGAAGCTCATGTGCTTTTCATTCCAATTTATGACAGTAAGTCTCAGCCCTGAGCACCTCCCATGGACTAACAGCCAGTTTGAGTCATTAGTTGAGCTGTCTCTTGTATCCACAATCCTTCCCAGCAGTTGGTAATTTCCTGGAAAGGCCTTGCTCTCAGATAGAGCAGCATGTGAATGTAATGAAAGCACACACACATGTGCTGCATGTTTGCTACCTGCTGCCAAGCAGCAAAAAGTGGTGGCTTTGCATTTTTTTTTTTAAGTGTTGTAATTTTCCTGGTTAAGATAATTGATAATGAAGTCCTAGCATAGAGAAATTTTACCCAGATTCCACCTGTGTGACAAGAACCACTGAAAGGATTTTTACAGAAAAAGTTCCTGCATACTTTAAACCCAGACAAAGTTGACAAAGAATTCCTGTTACCTAGACCTTAGCAAACATCTTCCCCTGTGGCAAAGGAATGTGGTGGCTGCACAGACATGTGGAGCTGTAGGAGCAGGACAAAGCATAACACAGCATTTAGAGGGAAGGATTCATCCCTCTATAGATCATCTTTGTGCTCTCTATACCCTCCCAACTGGCCTTTAGCCCCCCTGTGCAATTCTATCATCTTGTTTCCCTTCCTATTCTTTCACCTAATTCATGTTCCAGATTTTTTCTTTCTGGACAGCCTGCAGAAATTACATCACCCTTTTATTCTATTTCATGGTCTACATGTGTACAATAAAAAATAAGGAAGTAGCACAGCAATCCAGATTAAGTAGAAAGAAGTCTGGCAGGCTCATCCTTGCTGGCTGCAAAAAACCATAATCCTGAAAGCAGAGGAAAGATTCTGAAGCATTTTCCCAGGCTATTTCTCCAAGTAATTTTCTTGTCAAGAAAAACATAATAAACTATCCGTTGGGCCTGCAAAGAAATGCTCTATTTTTAAACTAGAAATTCACACAGATCTCCAGGTTAATATCAATACCAATATGTCCCAAGTTAAAACAACTTACCAGAGCTTTGTAGTTGCTCCACCCAGATTATTCTTCCACAAAATGTGCTGTAGGAACACCAGACGTGCATAATTTTCCTCAGTGGCACAGCCAACTATCACTAGGTGTAGCACTTTGCAGGTTTAACCAAGGAAACACTGTTTGCTATGAGCTATGGCTGTGACAGACCACATGGATTAGTGACATTTCTCTTTGTGCCTCAGGGCAATGAATTAAAACTACATCAAAGAAAGGAACAATCCCAAGAAGCAGAACACAGTCAGCCCCTGGAATAGAAGGCATTCAAAATACTTTGCTGGATCATGGCCTCAAACATGTATCAACCCTTTGTACCCATGATCCATACAGTCTTGCTGCAAAGAATAAAGAAATGTTCTCACAACCCTGCATGTCAGTGTGAAATGACATGTGGTTTTGGCAGCTGCAGCTGGATCTGCAGGACTTGGGGTTTTTGTGTGTCTTTGCTCTATTTTTTTAATGAAAAAGAAGTTGTTTTAATCTTTATCCAGTTGTTCCTCAAACCAGCAAAGATACAGGAAGAAGCCAGTGCTGTGGTGTCCTTAAGGTCCACAATATTCAAATCCAAAATACTATGGAATGTCCTTTTATTTTGGTGCATTAGGAGTCAGGAAATAACAAATGGAAGGGAGTGATGGGGTTTTATGTGTCTGTAAGACTTCTATCTGCTTCTGTTTCCCATTGTTTCCATCTGGACTATCCAGACTGCTCACTAAGCTGCTGGCATTGAGGGGCATCCTGCATTTATGCAATTCTCAGCTGCAGCTTATGAATTGGCAAGGCTCTGACTTACAGAAAACTAGATGGGTTTGCAACTGAAGCCAAGGAGATGATGCAAACTTGTACAGATTCTCTGTATCTTGGAAAGAACACAATACACACTGAAGACAGTAAGTTACACAGCTTCCCTCTATTAAAAGAGCTATTCTTATGTGTGTTTTCAAAAAATCCTCCATGAAAATAAAAAGCATTATCATTGGTTCCTCTGCTTTGACCTTTTTGGTGCAATTCCCACTCAATCTTTCACTGATGTTGCTGTTTTATTATTAAAAGAAGCCCACCCACAGGAACACCTGAAGGAAAAAGTACTCAATTTTCCTGTGTGCTGAGGCATGTATTTTCTTCCCCAATTTTAAAATTTAGTTGGCTAATCACTTTTTCTTTTTCTGTCACTAACGAACATTCCAGCAGTCAGTGAGAGCCCAGTGTAAGAGATATTCCTATGATATTAACAGTACAGTGAAGTTTGACAACCCAGATTTTGAGTAGCATTTAGTACACACAATACTTACAGATCCAGAGCTGAGGCAGTGCTCCATAGGTGCAGCCTACTGCTTCAGCCTTGTTTCCTAATCTGAGTTCCTGTTCTTTCTTATCTCTCACCCATTCAATAACTCTTGATTAATCTGATTGACCACACAGAACTCTAAAAGATAAAATACATTTCTGCAAGTTTTGTGAACATAAGGAACCATCGAGGTAGAACATGCCTCTAAGGGTCATGATGGAAGGAAAGCACACCCTGCAGCAGGCCTTGCACATTATTTGGTATCAGAGATATCCCAGGAGGGAGCAGGAGACAACACAAATGTCTCCATATCTGGAAAATAAATTCCAAGTTTACAGCCAACCATGAGATAGGAACCTGCAAGAAGGCAGGTTTTGCCAGTTCTGGTGCTCTCAGAACTACTCATTTCATTGAGAGAGGTCAGCTCAAAACCCAAACCAGACAATTACAGAGCATGGCTGCACAATTAGGATATATTTCAGACTGCCAAATATGTTTTTGCATTAAAAGAAAGGGTGAGTAACTCTCCAAACCAGGACATACATCTTGAGGAATGCTGAACGATGCAGGGTTCTGTGATTTAACAAATTTTTAGTTAAAATAGCAAAGTAGCTGCAAATTTGCTAGAATGGGGTTAAATCAGGGCTCAGCTTGTTTTTACAAGCCAGTGCTTTATAGCTTCACTGTATTTTGTCTGATTATAGACACTGCATCTAAAGAACACATGAGGGGTGGTAGCTTATGAGATATGGTAAAAACAATTTTCCTGCTCCAGCAAATATGCTCTTATGTGTATTTATGTGTCTGTTGCTAGTCAGCAAAAAGCCACTTAGTGAGATTCATCATCATCATGTTCACTGCTCCATTCAGCTCTCCTTGAAACTGGAAAGCTTTTACTTACCTATTATGAAGCTTTATGGATTCATCTGCAACAGTGCACTTTGGGGAAGTCTACTCTGCCAACAGATTTTTTCAGATGAATTCTTATCTCCTTGCCTGCACGTTTGCCCTATTAATGGTGACATGATACCATTAAGAGATATGAAAACCACAGCCTTCTCCTATCCTCACACACAGGGAGAGTTGAACTCAGATTCCCCAAACCACAAGCAGTTTGTGGTCTCCTGAAAAGCAATATAAGCAGCAAACAAAGGGTCTGACCTCACTCAGACTCATTGTTTAGGACTCAAGCACGTACCAAGGGACCATAGCAGCAATCCAGTGGATCTGGCAGCACACTCAGCTGTGCAAGACTCGTAGCCCACTGCCAAGAGCTGCTCTGTTCTACTCCTGCACAGCCTCTGACTCTCTGGGTGGCCCTGGGCCCTGCTCCACAAACAATTCCCAGCACAGTACTTCATTATGGGAAGCCCTCCTGACTCCAGCAGCACCAGTGGAAGGTACACATGGATGGGGACTTGAATTCTTAGAGCTCAACGACCTGACACCTCATCCTTGTGCTAAGAAAGGAAGGAGCAAGAGATTAGAGTAACTTAGCTCAGCACTGTGTGGTTGGAATTTTGTCTGTCAGTCTCCAGTACAAGCTAAGGCCTTGCAGGAGCCTTGTAACATGTATTTTGCTCCCCAAAAACACAAGAGAAACATGAAGCCAGGGATTTCACCCTTTCTATTTAGGATGACTGCAGCAGTCAATAAATCACACAAAAGCTTGTAATGTTCCCAAGTTCCTCCCTTTAAAACACAATCAAAAAAAGCCAGGCTCATACCAGTACATCTTCCCTCTCTGATTCCCACTTAACCTGAAATTGTGTATTACTTTACCCCTTTACCAGCTTACAGCAGTGGCTGATAAAGTCATCTGTTTTCAGTTGCTTGCTAAGGGCCCACTAATGGAAATTCTTTGGTGATCTGGAAGGTTATCTGTACCTGTCTCCTACCAAGCTCCTTGCTGCTAGAATGATGGACAGCATCAGCTTTCAGCAGTATACTACAGGAAAAAAAGGAAAAAAAATTATTTTTCAAGTCCTGAAGCTGCCCATTGACAGATCTAACAATTCAAATAAAGACATCTACATATGTAGAAATTAGCAACCAATAGTGACAAGCTGAGGGCCCCTCTGAGCAGCTGCAGATCCACAGCTGTCCAAACCACCACATTTCCATACCTGGGCCTAACAACACAGAAAAGACTCAGAGCCAATGTGCTAACAGTGTTTCACACCATGAGAGACACTGCACACATGCAGAGTTCACACAAGGATGCACAGGAAACTGATGTGATGGAAAACAAACCACAGGAGAACAAAATTTAAAAAATGTCCTAAAATGTGCATTTTATTTCATATCATTATACAATGTTTACATACAGGTATACTTTTAAGACTGCTCAAAGAAAGTGTGAAAAAAGTGAGGCAAATATCAGTTTATAAATTCCTCCCCTACCCCAAACCCCCACAAATAAAATACATTTTAACACAATCTCTTCCAAATTAATGTTTTGTCCTGAATTTATTGAATCTTTCATTTCAACATGAAAAATACAATCGAATGAAAACTCAAGGTGAAATGCTGACCTACACTTCTGTATTGAGTTGCAAGAATACAGTTTAAAACCTTCAGAAGCCTCCACTTGTCTCTACTGCTTATATATCTTCATTTTATTGAATTAGAAGGCACAGAAAGTCCAATTCTCACAGACCAGTCAAGTTCTGATAAAAATAAATTACTGTGCTGGACAACTCCTGACTTGTCTGATATCAAACAAAAGACTTCAAGTAGAACCTTTTGTTCAAAATAGCACCATTTCCACCTGATCTCTTTTGAACATGAATCATTCTTCATGTGTAAAAAACTGTAGTTGGCACTTGAGGTGGGACACTTTCTGCCACAGCCAGGATTCTTCAAACACTAAGCATACCAAATTGCTGAACTCTCTACAAAGTGTAGGTAACATTTTTGTTGGGAAATGGCACATTTAAACCATAATGTAATGTCGTTTAACCCGCGTATGGCTTGCCCATTTTGGTGTTTCCCTGACCCCTGCTTGATAATTTAGCAGATGTTCTTGTGACTGTGGTGAAACTAAAATAAAGACATGTTTATGGGGCTTCACGGCAAGCAGGTGTAAAAAGAATCAAACAAATAGTGTGGTTGCCGCTAAGGAGGTTTTCACATGTTGTTTAACTCCAGTAAAGTTTGATCCAGCATCTGATGCATATTAAGGTTTTCTTCTTTGGCATGCGCCACTTTCTCTGTTGTGGGATTAGAAAATTAAAACATGAATAGCAGTTCTTTGGAGGCACTGAACATGAAGGCATGCAATCATCATTTCTCTCAGAGGGTTTAGAAAGTTAAGCAATGTGCATGCTCATAAATATCAATGTTTCCAGATAACACAACTAGAGAGAATTCCAAATTAATAAAACAAACAGCAAGTAATGCAAGTTTAGAACTGTTCACAGTTGCATTTGTTAAGAAAATGCAGTGCCAACAGAGACACAATGCTCTGGAAGCTCTTTGCTTATAAGTATGTGAGATAATAAGTGGCCTTTTTTTTAAGTAGGCAATAAAGAAAATAAGTTCTTTGCAGATACACAATTAATAGTTTCATAGATTTCAAAAATACAAAGAACAAAAAAATTAAAACTATTATAGTTTTCAGTGAAGTGACCTTTAAGAAATTTATTTATTCTAGAAATAAATAAACTCAAAGTTAGTAGCCTGATGTTGCATGCACACTTTTATAGGACAATTACTTAACACACATAGTTAATACAATAAATGAGCATAATGCTCTGGTGGTGCATCCCACCAGGATCCAGTAACAGTAACTTCATACTATGCAAGCATACCTTTAAACTGATTGGGTATTGTCAGATGGAGCTCCCATTCTTTTTTTTTTTTTTTTTTAATGTCAAATGCAAGCCAAATTCATAGTAAGGCAAAATTTTGACATCAAAGTCTCCAGCCAAAACAGCTGCAGTATTCTTTCAATTGGTTTTAAAATACAGAAATATGGATTCTAGTGAATATTTTTCTCTCACTGTGGTAAAAATCTTAGGGCCAATTCATATTGGATAAACTGAGTGCCTTGCTGCAACAAAGGCTGTTACTTTTTGAACACTGTTAGTGAAATGCTGTAGCTCTTTACTTAAGTGGAAAGAAGCTACTGCACAGCAGACGAGCTCAGTGCTCCTCCCAAATAAGTGTGCAGACACATAATGAAAAGCCTCATCCAGAAGAAGCATTTCCATATTTTCCCAAGAGAATTTCTTTCATTAATTTACCACAGAATCAACAGAAAAAAAAATTTCTAAGTTTCTTGCTTATTTCTACAATTACTGATTCATTCTTTAAGGAAATTTGGAAGAAGGTGTTTTCAAATAAGTTAACAATATAGTCACACTAAAGTTTAATCCTCATTCAATGCCAGCTTTAGTTCATTAGTTAGGCGACTGTTTTGCTCAAGTTGCTGGTAGAGTTGGTCTGTACAGGCAGCAAGCAGGTTAGAAGGGAAAAAAGAGGCAGAATGAAGACAGATTAGACAGAGAAAACAGTTAAATAAGAGTTACTAAAGAAACTGGTCACATGACAGACAGTTCAGTAACATAGAGAGAAACATTTTACCTCTGTTTCTAGAACTCTAGTAATAGCTACTCCAAGGAACAGCTATTGTACCATATCAAGAACTGGCTAAGAATCCTGTTGTGGGGAACAGCTGTGAGACACAAACTGGAATAGAAAGGGAAGAGCTGCAGCTATATTCCTAGAAGTACTAAGTCTTACTTTACTGTTCTGTACAATGTGTGAATTTGTTTTATGAGTGCAATTTTTCTTTACAAACTATTTAAGGTGTAGTGGAGCCTCATCTACCACTAGAGAGAAAGCAATTGCACCACAGCCAGCATAAGAAACAGCAGGAGAGATGCTAGCAGGCAACTATCACCAGGTCTGACTCAGCCCATACTCCTTTCCTAGGAAGTCTGATGGGCTGAAATGGGATTTTTCATAGGTAAATATTACTAGTGTTACTGGAATCCACAGATTTTGATACCTTTAAGTTGCTGAGTTTTACTTCGTAAGTTAACAGACTCACATTTGGTGAAAATGAAAAGGAAGAACACTTTGCTCAAAAACAGCAAACAGAAAGGACAACTCATGTTGAAACAGAACAGCCACAGCCATGTTGTGACAGCACATTTAGTAAGAGTTGCTCTACAGTGAAAAAAATGTTCCACAATGGCTTTTGACTATCTTGTGTTCTCAAATTGTCCATGCTCTTCTCAATAGTCTCACTGCACTCCTGACCTCTTGATCCCAGATTATTCCCCTACAGGAAATGACTGTTTCTGACTCTTTTCCACAAGCTGCCTAACAGCTTCCACAGGAATCCTCTTCCCCTGCAGGCACTGGACACAGCAAAGGCAAAGCTGTGCAGTGAGCTGTCTGCAGGACATGCTTGTATAGTGAGCAACTCCTCCCAGCTTCCTCCCTAGCCCAAATTCCCACAGCCAGCTCAGTAAAGCCAGGGCACTTTTCACAGCTCTGATCCTGCAGATCCTTCAGTAACAAATGGATCTTGTCCCTCCCACCATGATAATGTAACATACATAGCCTTAGAGTAACTAAATTTCACTTTGTCAAGCAAAGTGTATATAGTTGTTATTCAAAAATGAATCGTGAACTGACTCCTACTATCATCACAGAAATCTCCTCTCTGACTGAGGCAGAGATTTACATTATTTCTCAACTTCCAAAACACCTAAATCCCCCAGTAAAGCAGGGAAGGCACTTCCCAAGTGTACAGTGAGCCTTGATTCCCCATGGGCTGTGTGTCCATCTGCTCCAGAGGCAGAGGCTGGCTGTGCAGGAGCCCCAGCAGCCCAGCAGGGAGTTCTGGCTCTGTGCAGAGCCAGCAAAGCTCAGCAGAGCCCAGAGCCAGCCCTGCACTCCTGGGAAGAAGCCTCAGGCACAAAACCAGCCAGACATGGCAGGTACAATACCACAACTGAGGGTGAAAAGAGTGCTGAACCACACCAGAGCAGGGAACCACAACAGCTCCCTGGAGTGAACATCAGAGCAGCAGGACCAGCCAGGAATCCTGCATGCAGCTACCTGGAGTTCTACATTGCACTGCTCATTTCCAGTACTCTGTCCAGCAATGTTATCCCTCAGGTATGACTGACACAAAAGGCAAAATTTTAATACTGATGTTTAAAATCATGTTATGTCAAAAATTGACAGGTTCCTACAATAGACTTTGCTTTTTTTATTTACTTTTCTTAAGAAACACCTGTATTACAAGGAATTGAGTGGACAAAAAACTGCTAAAACAGTGAACTAAAACACAATAGATTAAGAAGCTGGAGTTGCTGTAGCATATTTTACTCTGGCTCAGATGACAAGTTACAGTTGACCACATTCCCCCTAACTCCTGCATTTGAGAAGTTATTAGCCTCAGTCATTTTACAAATCCCATTATATTTGGTTAACTTTTATATATCTCATTCTATCTGGTTACCCTTCACTCACAGCCACTTACTGTATGTCAGATGAGGAGCAGGAAGTTACTGAACTTTATTACTTGAACTATCTGTGATTGCTGATCTATATCCTGTGTTTGGGCTCCCCCCAGCCAGCAACACCAGGATGTGTCATAGGTAGAAAACTGGGATATGCCCAGATTATCCAAGGATGGCAAGCCAGGAAGGGCATGCATCCATTCACAAGCCTTATTGGGAAAACAAACTTTGAGGGGGGGAGAAAATCTAGTTTAGACTGCACTGTTGAACATTCTTGAAGCTGAACAAGAAAGAGACATTTATACTTTTCTAAAAGTTAAAAAATTCAATTCAGCTATAGTATAATGAATTTATTTAGCTTTGGTGACTTAGGAACTTTAGCAATATAAAGAGTTGTAGCATCACCAGAAATCACTTTCATGTGAACTGGAAAATAACTTCTTTCACTGTGATGTAAATAAAGTTAAAATAAGGCAATAAACTCTCTAGTTGCAAATAATACAAAAAGAGCACAAGATGTCAGTACTTAATGCTTCATCCTTAATCAGACAGTGACAAATCAGCTGAAACCTGAAATCCATGATGTCTGTTCCACTTTGCAGCAGAATAATTTCATTAATAGCATAATCACCAGAATTTTCCTACTTCAGCTTTGAAATATTTCTCATGAGTCTGCAATTCAAACTCACAAATCTGAACTAAGCACAAGTGGAAAGCTACCAAAACCTGCCAATGAACTTCCAATATTATCATGCCACTCAAGAAAAATACATTGCAAAAACTCCAAAATGTTAGCAAGCACCATCTTCGCTGAATAACTGAGGTGTGAAAGAGGGAAAACTTTTTTTGCAAGACATTTCAGGGATTATTTTTGGGTGAAAAAAAGAATTTAAAGTTTTTGATGCTGCCACTTTAAGTCTGTCTCAAATAGCTAAGTTAATGAACAAACATTTAAATAAAGATAAGAAGTCTTCAGCATAAAGCTAGGAAAAGATTTCAGGCTTTAAAAAATTCTGGTTACATCAAGGATGTAACTGCTCCCTCAGCCATGCTCCCACGACCAAGTGGCCCCAAGGAAGTAGTGTCCTTGCAAATTCTGTCCTAACAATAACAACTGGAAGAGTTCCTATTACATCTATTTGTCATTTTATCTGCAGTGGAGTTTTGAGAAAAACTAAGATAATAACTGCTCAGTTTTCACACACTGTGCTTGCTGGCTTGGCATTGTCAACATTCAGGCAAAAGTGTTTTCAGCTAAAAAATGAAAACACCAAAAAATGAAATCCCTAATGGCATATAAAAGCGCAAATTTTATTAATAACTTAAATAGTTACTTAAATAAATAAAAGGCAATGGAATAGCAAAAGGGATACAGCTGGGATATTTATTTTACATTGAGAAATGTATTTTCTGTACAGCAGAGCACAAACAGAGCATGTTCTGAGACAGGTGATAGAGGAAGAGTCAACTAAGCTAGAAGACAGGACAATGAGCCCATGAAACATCCAAAGCTTGGAAAGATGTTTTATCCAACCCGATGAAGATGTCTTTGGAGAACTGAAGCAAAGAAAATTATCTGCATGAAAAGAAAAAGTGAGATAAGGTAGAAAATGAAAAAAGGTGCAGTAAAGACTTTAAAAAAAAAGCAGCAATGGCACAGCAGAGCCCAGCATGCTGAGATGACTATGCTAGAGAAAGAGCACACCATGCTGGGACTGGAATGATAGAGTCATGTCCTCATATACCAGTAGACTACAATTTTAAGTCTGTTTTCCACTTAGAAATATCCCAAATTGAAGAAATATTGTAATCTCTGTATAGAGAGGAGGAAAAAAGAACTCCATTTGCTTGATAAGCCACTAAGCAAAACCATATGTCAGGAAGGAATTTAACAACAAAAAATCAAAGCATACAAAGCAGGCAACATGAGACCTCTACTAAAATGCTGGTAGAGAGAAGGAGGAAAGTAATGAACAGAAATGGAGACAAAAAAAAAACATGAAGAAAAAACAATTTAAAATATGGGTGCAAACAAAATACGTTTCAAGCTCTAAGACATAAGCAAACCTTATGTCTTGTTGAAAGCATGCCTGGGTTTCCAAAAGGGAATGCTGGGACTAAACATTGCACCTCCTAAGCACTTGAGAGGCACAGCTCTTCCCCTCTCCCATGTCAGCTGCAGTCTCATGCATGGGAAGGTGGAGGTAGCACAGCTGACCTCTGTTCAGAGTCACTTTGTGGTAAACACTGCAGAGTCACACCTTACAGCTGTTGACTCTCCTCCTTTCCTGCCACTCTTTATTTTTCTCCTTATGACTAAAGTTGGTATTACCACATTTTCGATACATGCAAATAAAATTGTTACTGCTATCTAGAAAATATACAGAAGAAACCTACAATTCAATTCTTGCCTTTATGGGTTTAAATGATAAGGTATTTTAAATCCATTTCCACACATGTAATTCAGTGATAACAGCTGAAATTTTCAGAGCAGTTATGAAAATTCAGATAAACAATTTCTACTGTCATTAAGAGAGAATACAGCTAAATCTAAATTTCTCTGACATTTTTGCAGGAACTTTGCCAGAGCAAAATTGTGACAGCAGGCAAAGGAATACACTGTGAATGCAACATACACCACAGCAATTTTCATTGGTAAAACAAACATGATGGGCCTGGTAGATAATGTTTGAACAGAGGTGAACTGAAAGGATAAACACAGACCTACAAACAAAGGGCAACCACAAGACACAAGGACTGCAGACACAGAATCAAAAAGTAACCACAAGCTTACAAAATCACCATGAGTATTTACCAGGCTTGGCACAACACTCACCCACACTTTGCCCGGGTAAAGCAATTGTTCATGGTATTTTGTACACCTATTCTCTCTAAAGGAAAGCATCTCCCACTACACAGGGAGCATCATTTCACAAGGCCGGTACTGCGCAATCAGTGAGGGCAGGGAAGCAGGAGCGGGCACAGGCTGGCAAGACATTTACATGGAAGTCATATCATTGAGAGCGTGGTCCAGCTCCTCACTGATGGCTTTGTACTTCAGTTTCTGAGCATAGAGCTCATCTGATGTTCCCCCAGGAAAGGCAGAGGTGTGCAAGGAAATGCAGCAGGATCATGGGATGGAAGGTGAAGGTGGTGGCAAGGGGATACCATCCAGAAGCCACGGGAAATAGGAAGAGTGCACAGAAAGAAGTGTTGTGACAGACAAAATGAAACAAAATTAGAGAAGAATAAAAGAAAGAAAATGGTGAACGGTTCTATGCAAGAAAATAGTGCAACAGTTTTATGCAACAAGTTCATTAATTGCACTGCCAACAGGGCAACCTGTGATGTACAGAAAACCAAGAAAAGACAGTAGAAAAGAAGCAAAAATTCATGTTTCACTGCCCTGGATTTTTGTTTTAATGCTTTTTTATTTTAATTAAGAGGGGACATAGGAGCTAGGGAGGAAAGATCCAAAAATGGGGCTCAAAGAGGGTGTTACCATTTTCTACCACTTTTTTGTTTTTAAACCACTCTGGCTTGTGTGATGTCAAACTCAGCTTCTTACAGCAATTTTTGCTCCTTCTAAACACTTAGATTTCTTCTCTGCTTCCTTCCTGAGTCAGGGATCATAAATTTTCAGCAGCTACTTAGGCATTTCATCACCTTCACGCAGAACCCAGCCTGCCACGCCATGCAATTTAGCTTCTTCAAATCCTACACTTAGTGTAATGCATCTAAATAGCAAACTCCATATAACTTCAAATTACAAAGTCCTACTGAATTGTTTTCTCCAGAGGCAGAAAGCACATTCTACTGCTCTGCTGCAGTTCTGGCAGATTTATCAAAACCTTACAAACAAACCCTCTGAAGTTGAATAAGCTGTCCTTCTGATTATGTATACAATCTATTAGCTTTCCCAAAACCCAACAACTGGTCTATGTCACAAAAAGCCTGCCCTGACCCCACTTATCATAGTAATAAATTAGGTTAGCTTGCTACATTCCTAACTATTGCAAACATAATGCAACTCTTCATTAGTTCTTTACTAAGATGATAATAACACTTGTTATGATCATTTACCCTGTAACATTTGTATACTTCCAAGTAGAAGAGTATAAAGCAAAAAATGGAAGGAGTCTTGAGAACATAAGAGAAAAAGCAACAGGCAAGAGCAAAACACTGTTCACCTGAAGCATTTAAGATACCAATAAATTTCATTTTAAAAATATTTTGTCTACTCTTTAGGCAGACCCATTTATATAAGCAGGACAAGTCAGCCCAGTAGAATTGGGTATTAAAAAAACCACAATGAAAACCCTCACACAAGAGAAGAATAAGAGATATGTATTTCCACAGTAAGCAGAAAAACAGCCCCACGTACCTTCTAGGTCATCAATGCTCTTCTCCAGCTTGGTTACTGACCTCTCAGCAAACTCAGCACGGGTCTCAGCCTGAAGTCAGAACAAATACAGACTACTTTAGGAAACTCACACAGTACTTAGGAGTAGAAAAGGAATAATTCAGGATATTAAAAAAGCACAGCGAGAGGAGGTTAATAATAAGGCTAATATAAACTAATTTCTAGGGGACATATTGAACAGTAAACTGTTTCCAAAATGGTATGTTCATCCTTACAGCATCAAAGTAGTGTTTATACTAAAAGAATCAAAGGTGCATTGGAAGATACGTTGCAAGGAACAGTTCTTATTTTACCTCCTTCAGTTTGTCAGTCAGAACTTTAATCTCCTCTTCATACTTGTCTTCTTTCTGTGAGTACTGTAATTAGAAAGAGGATCATTGGTATTAGATGAGTATTCCAAATATACCCAGAAAACCCCACATTCGAAATTCTTGTAATAGATTATCTGTACACAAGAAGTTGTTATAGGTAAAACAAAATTAATTCCACTTGGAAGGCTGTGGTAGTATGATTTGTTACAAGAGTCAAACTTCCCTTGAGTTACATTCCAGTGCAATATGGTGGGAACTTTGAGAAGAAATCAGTACTACAGTTTTAAAGAGGAATGCCTTCTGGAGAAATTTAATGTTAGTACACAATGCCATTTTGAGGGACATTCTATAATTAACACTTAATCCTGTAAGAACACTCAACAGAACATGTGGCCAAATAATACTGACCTATTTGGAACTAAAAGATATGCTGTGTTCCAGTAGGAGCCAAATAAGAATTAAGTAGTAAATCCAAATGCCTCTATTGACAACAGCCATGAAGAAATGCTGGCAAGTGATTGGCATACAAAGAAAACCCCATAGGCCAGATGACAATGTAAGGGACACATTCTCACATAAGTCTCTAGCCTACCTTCTCAGCCTGAGCCTCCAGCGACTTCAGGTTGTTGGTCACAGTTTTCAACTCCTCTTCAAGCTCAGCACATTTGCTGTTATTTCGGAGGTAAGGCAGGAAAGGGGAGGATGGAAGATTCAGTCAAGCAAAAGAAACAGGAGAAAATAGGGGGAAAAGATAGAGAAAAATGAAAACAATTACAGGGCAAAAGAACGGCCTCAAAAGCAGCTGATCCATCACAGACTGAAAGCAACTCTTTGTGATGCCAAATACCAGTTCAAGTGCACATTAAGACAATGACCAGACACAAATTTATCTACAGCTCTTGGCTTACACAGAAACATTTACAGAGCTTTTACACGTGAGACAGTTCAGCTTCTTTTGGTTGCACAGGAGATCAGTTTTAAAGATAAAAATCAATAAACAAAAAAAGAGACCAAAGAAAACCACCAAAGCGAGATGCAAAGAGAGAGTAAAGAGCATAGCAAGGGCTTATTTGTTACTACTGAGTGAGCTAACTGGCTACGGAAGCTGAAACACTTGGGTTGCAGTTAAACCTAAAAACTGTTTATTAGTATCAGTACCTTATCCTCTGCAGCCATTAATGCTTTCAAGGTTTGATCCATTATTCTTAACTGTTCTTCCAGCTGTCGGACTTGGCTGTTAGTGAACACATGAAATGCACAAAAGCCATTCACAAAATCAGTGTGCAGGTACAGCATGCAGTGACAAAACACGCGCACACACATAGGAACACATTTACTTTGGCACCGACCATTTATCTCAACGATTACAGTAAATGAGCAAAACATAGCTTGGAGCTGAACACACAGTGTGCTGCCAACATTTCATGCAGTTATAGTTCTCTTCTAGCACCTCACATACATCCCAGGGCAGGTCCACACTTACCTTTCTGATAGCTCAGCACGCTCCTCAGCGCGCTCCAGGTCACTCTCAATGATCACCAGCTTACGAGCCACCTACAAGGACAGGCAAGGGACAACCAGGGATATTATGTTGCTGCACTACACAACATCTGTTTCTAGAACCTACAAAGCATGGGGCTGGGCCTCTTCATCTCTTGCTCAACATATGAGTTTAGATTATGTGATATCTTCATTATTCATTTGAGACTTAGTTATCTGACATTTTTCAAGACATCCCTTTCATTCACCAAAAGGCAACTGAAAAATATTTCTCTCCCTAAGAGCTTAGGGAATACTCTCAATCATTCAAGATGTAAGCTCAGATCTCCTGTCACCTTGTCCCTTGAGTTATCTGAGTGCCGGATTTTCCTTCCACAGCTGTGAAGAGGGGTGTTTGTGATCTTTTGAACTTAAAAGGCAAAAGAGAAAACCAAAAATTACAAGCACACCCTAATGGGCTTCAGAAAGAGATGACCTGCACTCAAGAACTGACCTCTTCATACTTGCGGTCAGCCTCTTCAGCAATGTGCTTAGCCTCTTTAAGCTGGATCTCCTGGATTTCCATCTTCTCTTCATCCTTCTGGGCTCTATTTTCAATGACCTTCATTCCTCTGAAAAACATGAAAAACAGGAAATGCAAGGTTCAGGGCTTGCCAGTTTATCTCCAGCTCTGCTGCCTGTGGTATGTGACTTTCAGACAGTGGTATTCAGGTGAGTGGAACACATCAGACAGATGAGTCCTCACACCATAGATTTAGTCCTGTGCACTTACATTTCAGAAGTTCAAGTAACAAAACATGTCTTAGGAAGGAAGAAAAAGTGTGATTTGTTTAGCTCTTATTGTAATTCAGCTGTAGAATACCTGTTAATTTTAGATTGCAGGAAAAACTCCTCTTATAGAAAGGTTAACAAAGGGTGTTACTTCTAAAGATCTAGTAAGACTGAAACCATCTGTGCTTTTACACTCATCAACAGCATATTAGAGCCCTTGCAGGACTGACAAGAATCACGTCTATGGGCCAGACTCCCCTGGGTTTTGCCACGTCAGAGCCCCAGAGGCTCCCTGTGCTCTCTAAAAGCAAAATTTAAATCCTTCATAACAAGAAACACTCCGTGTTGCATATGTCTGACATAAAATTACCTTAAATGTTTCAAAACACACTGCGAGTCTCTGGCAAATTTCTTTTCAACAGACTCCATTCTTACTAAGGTAGAAATGAACATGCAGAACGTGTGGGTTTCTTTCACACTAAAAGTTCTATCACAGGTATAAAATACCATTGGAAGAACAGAGAAGATCTTCCAAAGTCACGAAGCTTGAGTTCCTAACTTGCACTACAGACTTCTGGAAATCTGAAGGAATTATCAGTCCCTTTCCTTTGCTCACCTTCACATACCAATCTTGCCAACAGGAGAACCAAAGCCTCCTTCAGCACTTGACTGCTCTCCAGGTGAGATTTTCCACCCACAATGAAAGCAAGTATCACTCAACAGCACAAGATTACCACAAGGAGTTGTCATTCAATAAGAGAAGTCTGGGCTGGGCCAAGCAGTTTTCCCAGGATGTGGCATGATACATCAAAAAACCTACCACACTTAAATCACAACTGAAAAAGAATCCAAGCCCAGATATTTTGGACATTGCTACAGACAAGCTGTAACTGAAGTCCATGTACACAAAGGAAGAGCAGATTACACATATTCCGAGACCTAGGAGTGGTTTAATTTATTTCCCTAACCCACACCCTGGCAATTATGATCTTTGTCATAAGGGTAACAATCCATTCAGGTGTGGCTCCACCCACCTTTCACTCTCATCTGCAGCCTTCTCAGCCTCCTCCAGCTTCTGCAGGGCAGTGGCCAAGCGCTCCTGAGCGCGATCCAACTCTTCCTCAACCAGCTGGATGCGTCTGTTCAGAGAAGCCACTTCACTCTCAGCCTAAGCACAGGAAGAAAGAGAAATTAATTCATAGCAAGGCACACATCTTCCCTTGTAAAAGGTTACCCCGTTACCTGCAAGTGCCATTTAATAGCACTTTGTAATTTCTGACTTCATCCACTAAGAAGTCCATACACAGAGATGTGCATGATTGAATTGTGAAGTTATTGCTTAACAGAGGAAAAAAGTGATTAATGCTTGCTTTCAATGAAGCACATCAAGGACTGTACAATTTGTACTAGAAAGAGCTACACAGGAAGAATTATGCACCATTACCCAAATATTTTCTGTTATTGTATTTGCAGACATTAATTACAGACCTTCCCTTTTTTAAATCAAAGCAACACAAGCTAATTACTCAATTCTTCTGTCACCCCAATTCCTTTATTTATGACCTTTCACCATATTTTGCAAGAATTGTCCCAACATTTCCTTGAGTTCAGTAAGAAGTTCTGTTCAGTGTAAACATGTAAAAACACACCTGGATCAGCATTTGCAACAGGACAGCTGATAGAGAGTTTGAAAACATTTAATAAGTGCCTGAATACCCAGAGGTTTTGGTTACAGGCAAGCTGTGCAAGAGTTGACAAAAAAGGCACCAGCAAGGACCCTAGTACAGGCAGCAATCTCTTAAAACATCTATTTTTTTTTTTCCTCCCATAATTCCATCCTCAATCTACCCCTGAATTTGCCTTTCTTGAATTACCTGTTAACTTTCTGTACAACACTTGCAACTCCTCTGCCTCTTATCACTACAAGCTATTATATATTACAGTTCCAAACACTTGGCCTAAGTTGCAGAGTAAGTTCTAAAAGAAGCCTTTTTGTGGTAACTTCCTCATTAAACTTACTTTCTTTCAAAACTATATTAAGCACAGAGTATATATAAAAGGGTAACTATTCTAAAAAGTTAATTACTTCAGAGAATAACACTTAATTAGTACTGAAAAGATACATGATATATATTTGATGTATGTGAGGAAGTACACATCTGAATTTCCCATGATGTCTAGATGAGTGGAAAACCAACCCTCTGGCAAAAGTAGATACCAAAAGTATCAGTTTGGCAGTTTTTCTTCTCTAACCAGATGTAGTTGGATACAGTTGTCCATAGCAAAGATTTTGCTGTTCATAACACAAGAAATAATAACTTACAGACCAGACAAATGAAACAACCTTTGACATAAAAGTAACAATGTCCATCTAGAATGACTGAAAGTAACACATGAACAGGGAAGCAATTATATCTTTGAACATTAATATGCATTGGCAGTGAACACATAGAATCAGATGGAGAAGAGACTTTATCCTTAGAGATCCACATTAATCCAAATATATAACATTTAGCTATGTAATCATGCAGTAGTATTCAAAATCTCTGATTTTGGACTTCTGGCTTTAAAACAGTAAGAATTTGAACTTTCACATTTGAAAAAGAAAATGACCTTTCATAAAGGCTACCCTAGAGAAATTTGTAATGTTCAAGTTAATTATTATCATGTCAAGACTCCTCATCATGATAAGAGCATAAAATGTGCTTCAGAACACCAGGGTGACTAAAGTTCAAGTTTTCACTTCCTGCTCCAGTAACTCACTAAGGATTTACCAATCAGCCTTATATGGCCCCAGTTATTCTTCTGCAGAGCAGGACTTCTCTCCTTATATGGCAAGGAAGGAAAAAACCCCAGTGACATTGGGGCACTCCCACTGCTACCATGCAAACAGAACCCTCATTTCTGCCGTGGCACTTACACACCACATATTTTTACAATGAGTGATGACATGGATAAGTTACCACTGGGTGTTAATTATCATTATTATAAGGGAGATTCTATTTTCCAGAAGGAGGTAGAAAATGCATTTTGAAAAAGTGATTACCAACAGCCCCTTGAGATGTACGTATTCAAAAACCAGAAGATTCTTTTTTAAGAGAATGGCTGCTGATGACAGCCTTGAAACTTTTATCAGTCTGGTATAACAATCAAAAGGTGGAGGCTGTGCTATGTTTTGGCCACAGCTGTAGCTTTTTTTGTTGTTTGCATATTTGTACCTTGCACAGGAAGTAAAAAACCCCTCACCTAACAACCCTAGCTGGTCACAAGCCATACATGTAAGGCATTACACTAAGGAAAGGAGCAGATTCACACCTCAGCTCGCTTGCTGCAGTGCTCTCAAAGCCTCCCTCCTCAAGCATGCAGAAATACAGCTGCAACAATAAAACCCCTCATCTGTAGCCAGCACTGTAGAAAAAGCACACGTCTACATGTGCCTGGGAGTTCAGTTTTTTCAGCCTTTATTCACCCCAGCACTGACCCCTCCAGACAAAAATTTAAATACCATGTAAACGTACTCTGCAGAATTCCACATCATCCACATAAATCAACTCCAGGGAAGAGATAAACATTAACCTTTAGGGTCCTACAGCTTACTGCAATGTAGCTGAACTCTTAAGGGAAGGCTCCACCACAAGGCTGTAATCACTCCTCCAGCACTATTCCTTCTGCCACAAAAGTGAACAGCAAAACACCCCTTTTCAATGAAAATTCCTAAATATGCTGGTCAGAATAGTACATGTTACTGAAAGTAGGAATTTTTCTGTCCTTTACTCCACAAAGCTTAGCAAACAAGTAAAGGTTTTTTAAAAACAGAAACATTTATGAAATGACTTATGGCTCTTCACCGAAACAAACAGATATGGCAAGTGATCTGCAAGAATGCAATAGTTACACAAGCACAAGTGGCCATATTTTGCTCCATAAGGAAGATCACCTGCAAGTAATCAGGAGGCTCCTCTTTTGAACTTACTGCCCAAAATGTGCAGAAAGCCCATTTCATAAGGAGATAAAAAAAATCACAATTTTTCTATTGTAATAAACTACACAAAAGCTTTGTTCTTTTGCTCCGTTTTTATGCAACTACTGAAGACACTGAAACTGCCTCAAAGAACACTGTACATTTTACAGCAGGAAACATTAAGCTACAGCTGCTGGAACACCCAAAGGTCAGTGATAAGACAAAGAACAGCCCTATCAGGGTTTTTTTAATTGTGATTGCCACCCATAATTACATCTATCTGCTATGTAAGCCTATGCTGCTCACACCTGATCCTGCCTCCACCTAAATCCAAGCCTGTTCCTCTCCCCTCTTGGCGAGCAGCTTCGATGAGCAGCACACACCACAGCTGTTCAGCGACAGGGGCTGGGTGCTGGCATTGTCAGGTGTTGTCAGGTACCGTGGGCCGTCTCAGGTGCACTCTCGCGTATTTCCCAGCAGTCGCCATGCTGACTCCCCACACACATCAACTAGGACTTGTGGGGAGAAACACCCCATAAAACCTTGCTCACAGCCTAATTCAAAACAAGTAATCTCAAACATCTCGCCTAAGTCCGACCTCATGCAGCTCGGGGTTTGCTGTTGCCCAGCTCACCTAGCGCTGCCTCCCTGCGCGCTGCACCTGGGCCCGGCCCACGCAGCGCTCGGGTTACCGAGCCGGGGCACGCCGCACTGCGGGCCGGCCCCGCAGGTAACAACCATCCTGTGGGACACGTCGGCGAAGGATATTTGTGCCTCGCACTCCGCCGGCCGGGGAGGCAGGCGGGGCAGCCGCGACCCGCGCCCCCAGCCCCCGGGCCCAAGCCGGGCCGAGGGGCGGCCCTACCTCCTCCCGCAACGCCCGCTCCTGGTCCACCTCCCGCTGCAGCCGTCCCGCCCGCTCCTCGGCGGCGTCCGCCTGCTCCTGCAGGCTGCGAATCTTCCTGCGCACGGCCTCGAGCGAGCTCATCGCCGCCATGCCCGCACCTCGCCCAGCCCGCGCCGCCTCCCTCCGCCCGCCGCAGCCCCGGAAGTCCCCCCGCGCCGCAGCGCTCCGGGGCGGGGCTGCGGCACCGGGCTGGGAGCGGGGCGGGACGGAGGATGGTCCAGCCGCCCTGGGTTGGGCCGGTCCTGAACCGGGAGGGGCCGGTCGTGGCAGTGAATGGGCCGGCCCTTGCCCGGTCCGACCGCGGTTGTGGCGGTCGTGGCCGGGGATGGGCCACTCCTGACCGGGAATGGGCCGCTCCTGCCGGGGCTGGGCCGGTCGTGGCCGGTGCCGGGGCTGGGCCGGTCGTGGCCGGTGCCGGGCCGGTCCTGCCGTGCCCGTGGATGTGCCGGGGCAGCAGCGCCGCCTGGCGGCACAGCGCGCGAGATCCCCCGGACCGGACCGGACCGGACCGGACCCGGAAGGAAGATCCACCTTTGCCCCCACAAACCGCCCCCATATGAGCGATGTGATAAAATGACAGCGAGAAACCCGCCATATGCTGCTGCACCCGGCCTGGCTCCTGGGACACGGGGAGGGGAGAGGGGCCGCAGCTGCCCCCTCTCCGGTGGGGTGGCTCCGGGCATGTGCCTGGCTTCTGGGAGATGAGTCATACCGGACAGGTAAGATTTTCTCGTCCCAGTGAAAGGCGAGTCCATCCCAGCGAGCCGACACTCCCTCCCCGCCTCTGCCCTTTTCCTAAGGCTTGGAACTATCCAAACTAACAAGGTAAATACTGGGTCAACTGCAATGCCCCAAATATACTCTTCATTGCCAAAAAAATAAATATATCCCTAAACTGCCAGACATACTCCATACATACAAATAAATAAGACATTTACCTCCATGAAAACAAGCCAGACACTCTCCCACCCTCCACCTCAGCTAAGACTGCAAATAAAATTGGCCTCAACTAGCTTCCAAACACTGTTTTCCAGCAGAGGTAGGTGGCATGGGGATCAGTTAGGAAGATCCTTAGTTTCAGAAAGGGAATCTAGTAGCTTTTCTCCTGCCTTCATCCAAGGCAAGCTATTTCCAAATAGTCTGCATACTTTTCCATATAAGGAATATCTCCCTTGGATCTATATGCGGGGTCCTTTGAACAAGCTAAATAAATGTCCTGCTAGGAAGCTGCCTCTCCTATGGCAGCCTGCACAGAGCAGACATCTGATCTACATTATACTCGGATCCCTCTCCCCTGTTCCTTTGAACACTTCTGTTTGTTAAGTTCTTAGGTTCTCTTTCAAAGCTATATAACTTAGTTGCCATACTGAAGCTAAACCTTTTCTTGCTTTATTCCTTTTAGAAGTAAAATAAGATAAAAGCATGTTGTCTTCTATGCGATGTTGCTGTTTGTAACATTTCCGTTTCTGGAAGTATCCTTCCTCCCCCTGAAATACTTTGCTTGCTTCATTTGTGGTAACTCCTTTTCATTTTGGCTTTGAGGTTGACTTTTAAAGCTGAGCTATAGGAAAAGGAGGGTCATTGCTTTGGAAATACTGTAGTTCCATCTAATCCTATAATTCAGACCTGAGATTAACTCAAGGAGAATTGAATTGTCCAACAGCAGCTATAGAGACCAAGACCTTAACTACACAGACTCTTATGGTTCCATGCATGCGATCCATTAAATGCATGTCAGGAACAGACAGGTGGGTGGGATGAGGGCCTGGGAGAGGCACAAGCTCTTGCCTTATTACCATATAAAGTGCTGAGCTATATATATCTCCCAGCTTGCTCTCAAGATCCCTGTCCTCTGAACTGCAAAACTAGCAGTATCATCTTCCGGACAATCTTCCGTCACACAAGACTGAACTTTTCTTTGACAAGTGAAGCAGTTCCACTGATTCCAAGGGTGGGAGGAAAGCAGGAGAGAACCTTTTATCTCAAGGACCAGTGAGCCAAACCAGTATCTACCAGCAGTTCTAACACATGCATACCTAGGAACAGCTCTCTTGAAAACAGAACTAGCAGCCCTTGCTCTTCTGGATCTCCCTCTCCAGCACCTACTCACTTTTAACTCTCTGCTTCTGTTTCACTATCAAGACAGTGCTGTTCTACCCCGAGTTGTTTTACCCATCACCTGAACAGATAAATCACCATTTCTTTACTTTCACATCTGGAGTGGCAAGTACACATAAAAAGCACACGTCAAGTGAGCAGAAACCCAATCAGATGCCTCTGATAGTGTGCAAACCTCATGCAGGGAGGCAGTGCTGTGTTTCCCACCTCCCTGTCCAGGAGGTGCCTGGACCCTGCCTTCAGCAAAGCTTTGCAGTGCTGCTGAGTAGGAGTCCAGGCTGTCCTGAGCAGAGGGAGTGTGTGGTTTCTCTGTTGGGCTTGTGGTGAAAGGGATGGGGGTAACTTACATCTGTGGCCTTTTTGTCAGCCAGTTCCAACTTTTCCTGTGCATCTTTAAGGGACTCGGAGTATTTGTCCAGCTCATCCTCAGTGGCCTTCAGCTTCTTTTGTAGAGCCACCAGCTCGTCCTCCAGCTGTGATGTGGGTGGAAAGTGGTGGAGAGGGGAGGGCGGGCAGGAAAAGGTGCAGCAGGCAGCGTGATCGTGCAAACGGAGAGGTGTGAGTGCAGAAGAGACAGAAAAGGACAGACAGACAGAGAGAGAAAGAAGGAGAGACAGTTAGATCCTCTTCGCTTGCAGCAAGGGCACGATACCTTGGCAGCATTCTCCTCTGCGGAGAGGAGGCTGTCCTCAGACTTGTGTAGCTGTTCCAGCACTTGGTCCCTTGTATCCTCCGTCCCACGCAATTGCTTTTCCAATTGCACAATGTCATCCTCTAACTAGGTGCACAAGAGGAAATATAACGCACAAATATGTTTCTCCCTTGGCTTAGAAAACTGAAACGAATTTATAAAATCGCTCTTCCTTTCTCCCTCCTCCTCCAGGATCTCCCAGAAACGTGCAATCAATGCATCCCCCTCCCTGAATCAAGAAGCCCCAGGTGTAAAGGAGGGGGCTTGGAGAAGGACAAAAAAGTGGGGCATGTGTCCGGAGAAGGGCGGGAGGGCAGTTCGAATCGGACACATCTGCTGAGTGATGCTGGAATGGGCGAACACAGCTTTAACTGTCCTTTGCCAAATCGCCGCACGTCTGCCCAGTGCTAACCAGGCGTTCTGGGCAGCCTCTCTAAGCCGTCTCCCTGTGACAAAGGCACAGAGGCCACGCCGCCGTCCCAGGGCTCTGCTCCCCAGCTGGAATGGTGGGGAAGGGGGAAGGACCTCCTGCCGCGCCCCCGGGAACCTCCAGCCGGCGGCTGCCAGGCTGAAGCTCTGCCTTAGGGAAAGTTCAACCAGTTCTGCAGGGGCGCGGGGGTGGAATATAACAAAGTACGGTGAGGGGGGAAGAAGAGGGGAGGAGGTAAAAAAAAAGAGAATACTCTGGAAAGATTTGCGCCCCGGCGCTCGCTGCGCCGGGGCCCTCGGTGCAGACCTGCTTGCTTCTCTCCTCCGCTGCCTTCTTGTCCGCCTCGGCTTGCTCGGCTCTGTCCAAGGCGTTCTCCTTGTCCAGCTTCAGCATCTGCATCTTCTTCTTGATGGCATCCATGGTGGCGGTGGGCTAGGGCGCGTCCCCGCGCGAACTTCTTCCGAAAGAAAAACTTGAAAAGTTGCGGGACAGCCCCGAGTCCGGACGCAGGCCCCCGGGGGAGCGGAGCGGAGCTACCGGGCGGCGGGGTTGATCCGTGCGGGACGGGGCGCCGGCCGACTGCAAGCGGCGGGCAGGGAGAGCCTCACAGATATGTACTTTCCCAGGGGGCTGACTGCATTCCTCAAGACATCCAATACTTTTTTGGAAAGGGCTTTTTTTCTTCCCTCCCTCCCTCCTCCTTTCGTCCCTACCCCTTTCCCTCTCTCACTGCCCCCCGGGTTTTTTTGGGAGGCACAGCCTTCCCATTCGCTGCCGCCTGCCATTTGACCGCAGATATGACTATATATGGGATGCGATGGGCGAGGTAAGGCGGGGGAGCAATTTGTTCCCATTTCCAAATAGGCAGGACGGGACATTTCGCTGCTACTCCTGGGAGGGAAAAAAAAAAAAAAAAAAAAAGGCAGCAAGCGGGGAGCGGAGGAGACGGGCGCGAAGGCTGCTGGCAGCGGGCAGCGCGTCTGGGTGACACCGGCCCCGTGCTGGAGCCGTCCCCACCCGTGGAAATCAATCTGTTCTACAGCAGGAGGCTGGCGGAGCCGATGGCATCAGGCGGCAGGGGGAGGCGGGGCACGGCAGGACGGGCAGCAAGGGGTTAATCGCATGCCCGGACGGAATGAATGCGCTCGGAGACCTTCCCCCGGCAGCCGGAGGAGGAGAGGAGGAGGGGGCACCTCTGCTCAACAGCCAGCCTGCAGCAAAGGCGGGCGAGGGGCGCTGCGCCGGGCACGAAGCCCAGAGTTTGCGGCGGGACCCGGGCAGGGCTGGGACCCACAGCGAGGGGAAGGGGCTGAGGGGCGACCCTGACTCCCAGAGCAGTGCCGGGGCAGGGCAGAGGTGCCAGCGGCTGCCGGAGCTTCCGAAGTGCACCGCTGTACCTGGCCGGGGCTCCTGGCCCTGCCTCGGTACTGCACGCTCAGGGGCGCAGGGAGTGAGCAGAAAAGGGGGACGGGAGCTACTGCCACCCTCAGCGGGAACAGCCATGCCCTGCCGGGGTATCCTGAGCTGCCAGGGATGGAGCCCAGCAAAAGCTGGGGCAGGGAATCTTAGCTACAGAGGTGACTTGCACCCTTTCGTAATGCCAGCGAGGGACAGCAGCAGATAGACAATTAACAAAATTACATATAATTAAGAGAAGACCTATTTAATTCACTTCTGGCACGTCTCTCACAGTCTCATCAGCAGAGTGAGCAAGACACAGCACGTTGTCCTCAGGACGCACGCTCCCTTGTACAGCATAGAAAGTACAGGGATGTGCATGAGTCCCACAGGATGTGGGGTGCACAAAGAAAATTAGGCAGCCTTTGTCTACACTCAGTACTTGTAGCAGAAAATTCCTCCCTGGTGCTGTCACTGGATCAGCTGAGCTGATGTTACTTTGCAAGAGGAGGGAATGTCCTACCACTTCTGGCCCCAGTACTTACCAGGGCAGTTAAGAGCTGGATTTGTAAAGCAGGCCTTGGAGAGCTTAAACAAGCTGCACCACAAAGCTTCAGCTCTACAAGATAGCAAAGTCCAGACCAACAGTTGCAGTCCCCAAGTCCTCAGAAAGGCCATAATCTCAATTAACCTAGGAACTATACAATATTCAGAGGCTCACAACTTGGCATGGGGATTCGTGTGTACTGCTCTTAGGGAGCAGAAGTCCACTGTCAAAATTGAAGCTTTCCTTATGCCTACTTAAAGAAAAGATGATTTCTCACTGCAGTCCTTTCTCACTGCATTGGTTTAACAACTAAACTAGTACAACAATAGCAGTAAAAATTATTGAGCAAAACATTGCACTTCCACAGAATGTTTTAAAACACAAAAATATTTAAAAACTCTACAGATTTAGTCACAACCAACTCTAAAGTGTAGTTTGTCTCTTTGCACTTACACTTGATTTTACATTATAGTAAATTAGAGCAGATTAGAGCCTTTCTGAGATAAGTATAGTGAGTATTTAAAAGATACCTAGTTACCTATTGTTCAACAACCTGACTGCTTTGTTAAATGTATCAGAATGTTTTAACCCTAGTTTAGGAGAACATATTCCTCTGCCACAGAAGATGCCTTAAAAACATGGCTGGGAAATCACTGAGGTAGCTCTTCTCACTTTGGGGAAAGAAAATGTCTTGCGAAATTAAACAAACAACTGTCTGGCTAATTTGGGAGTGGTGCTGATAGGCTCTTAAAAGAATGCCTGTGCAGCTCCTGTTGGAGTTTTCTCAAAGAATGTTAGCCATGACATGGGAGCCTCTAGGATACAGGAGAAAGTATGAGATACAGGCAGAAGGAAAGGAACTCAAAGTTTAAAAACAAATACCTGAAGGATGGTATCAACTCCACAGAAAGAAAAAAATCTTGAGGTTCTACTTACATGAAAATGTCCAGTTAGTAAGCTTTGTTTTTAGCAAGATGACCTGTATGCATGGGGCTGAACTGGCTGATGGTGATTTAATTTTTGTTTTCCTCCTGGAGAGAATATGAAAAGTACAGACATGTATTAACATGCTTGCTATACCTTTCATTAACAATTTCAATTACTTGGAAACTTCTATTCCAGCTGGCCAAGAAAGATAGGTTTATAAATGAAATAGCTTGTATAGCCTCTCCCTCTTTAATTGATATGTGAAGACAGATTGTATGCAAATTATTTTTACTTATTGAAAAAAGAAGGCAGCACAAACTTTGTTTTTATGACATAGTACCAATTCTCTAATGTTACTTGTCACCTCTTGTGTTTCACCACAATGGCTCATTTCATCTCATTTTATCTAATATAATCTAATCTCATCTCATCTTATCCCATCTCATCGATAAATGGTGCAGAAACTCATTAGCAGTAGTTTCACTTTCTTTTGGGGAGTACCTACTGAACTGATTTTGAATTCTGTTAATTTAATTGGGCTCTTAGGAAAATCAAGACAGCAAACTCAAAGCACCAAAAAAGGACACCTAGTTTTGAAATTCATGACTCTTTCTGTGAGCAGGTGATGCCACAATTCAGGCTTACTGACAGTACAGTATGGAGTGAGGCTGGGACTTGTTTATATAATGATGTTTCTGTCACGTCACCCATCCCTTGACATGGACAGAAATTTGCCTTGAGGAGGATCTGCTCTTTGGGCATAGATTGGGTTGGTCATAGGGGGTTGATTCTGATAACAGACAGAAAGGTAGGTGACATAATCACTTGGATAAACTTCAAACATGCCTTTGGAGTTGCTTTACCTACTTCTTCTCCTAAGTCTCTTTTTGTTTTGGGTTGTGGTTTTTTGTATTTTTTTTTAAGGAATATACAGGAAATGACACCTAACAACTGGTTCTGCCAGTTCTATAAAACATGCCTCCTAAAAGACTATTAAGGATTCAAGTTAGGTCAGTTCAGAGTGAACTCACAGGCCTGTATGTCATTTGAAAAGTGGAGTGTTCCCTCACATGGAGGCAAATAAAAATGAAATATAAACCAATTTCTCAAAGGTCTCTGAGACCTCCGCTTCCCTTGTAAAACAGGAATGTTCCTTTTGGACAAAGGAAGCCAACAACAGGACTGTAGGATATTATCAAAAATAGGAAATTGAAAACATCTGTATTCACCTAGAAAAACAAATAAAATAATACTGATGAAATCAGGAAGGTTTTACTAGTACAGTCAGCGTATTTTATTCTGTAAGGATCTCCAAGAGCTTTGCACTAAAATTGAGGGACAATATTTCTGAAAGAAGAATAAAAAGAGAAAATTACTCCTGGGGAAATGGGTCATCCATGCTTCAGCCATAAGGGAAGAGACAGCCCTAAACCAGAAGGCAGGAATCCCGATGGGCAGTTCTCTGCACAGCTCAGTAGGCAGCAAACAAGTACAGAAATACTCCAGAACATGCCAGTCATGCTTAATACATGCTGTAACCCTGTAAAAAGTTTTCTGTAACATTTCCTAGGTAATGGTGGAGAGCAGTTTAGCTTTTGTAATTAAGAACTATGGGATGATTTATTGGAAAAATTAAGCTTTAAATGATTTAAATACTTTTCCTCTTCAGAAGTAATGTTTCTGTTTGGTTTGTCATTCAAGAAATTAGTGAACTCCTTAAGTAAAAAAGTATTTATAGCACAGTCTTCTGCACCTGCCCTGATCTGTAATCCGAGGGTCTACTCAGATACCACACCAAATGCTAAGAAGCACATGACCTAACTCATGACCTAAGATCTTAAAATAGCTCTGAGAAGGTCTTCTTTATTTTTTCCCCAAGACTCCTTTCACTCTAATTGGACTACTGTTATTTGCTAGATTTCAGCTGAGCAAACATGTCTCCCAAGTTTTTGCATTGTGTTTTCTTTTAAAATCAGATTTGCTTTAGCTGGTAGTTAGGAATTACTAATGTCATTCTCTAAAAAAAATCTATAAAAAATAAGTAACAGAAAAACAAAACCCAAAGTCCACTCTTGGTAAGATGTCTTCCTACATCTTTCTCTTTATAGTTTCAGAGCATTTCAGACCACAATAAGATTAATAGATCATTTAAACTGTTTGTCTATTTATATATTGTTGGATTTATGTCCCACTCAATGAAGTCTCAAGTCACTTAAATCTGACTAAAGTAATCTTCTATTTTAAAAAAGTGTTTAAAAATGGTCTTGAAAAATAATACCCAGTCCATTTTGACTTGTGCCATAGAAAAGAAGAACAGTGAAAAGGCCAAGTAACAGAAAAAGGCAATTAATATGCAGTGGGCGGGGGGGGGAGGGAAAGAAATACTACAATCAACTGTACACAAACACCAAACTGAAAAGAACTGTGAATTTACAAATCCAAAAAGAAGCAACTCTTCAGGTGAGAGTCCACTCATGACCTTACAATGGTGCAGAAATTGCATTAAATTTTGTGATCTCCTCTGATTTACAGTATCCCAAATGATATCAGACCCAGTTCTACTGAATGCAATTGAGAAAAAGTTGTGGACAACAAGAAGGCCAATACCTTCAAAGGCAGAGTTCCATACTTGTGAAGCAGTTCATTTGCCAGGGCTTTGAGCTATATATAGATAAATACACTATCACTGTAACATCTGCTGCCATATCTACAAGACTACAAGGTGTCCTGAAATTTAGCTTTGCATTTTTGTTGGAGATTTT